GTCCCCCTCTGAACCCTACAACTTTTGTATAAAACATTTTTTTCCATCTTGCTTACTTTACGAGATATTTGCGTGCGTTGATTAAAATGACTCACCCTGTATATATATCACTCTCGATATTTCGGTTTTAGAATTGCAAGCAACTTATTTGCTATTAACTTATTATATTACAAGACCGTTTAGAATTGCAAGAAACATATTTTGCAATTAACTTATTATTTTATAAGACCGTTTCTTGATAATTTTGAGCGCACATTTATGTAAGTTAAAACTTAACCATAATTTATAGTTATTATAATTGCTTTTAATTTGATAAAAAATAATCAAATGTTTAATAGAAACTTTAAATCTATTATTTTTAGATAAAGAATAATGTTTTTCCTTTTTTTGCAGTTTGTAAAGCATTAAAATCAAAATAAAAAATAGACGATTCTATATCCAAAGTTTAAAATCTAGCTAAATAAAATTTTTAACGCAAATATAAAAGTTGAAGAACAGAGAAGCTGGAAATATTAATATAGTTTTTCAAGAAGTGTCAATATATCTGTCAACAATAACATATCTGTTAACGTCGGGAATTGTTTTGGAAGAGCTGAGCTTTAGGTTTTATCAACCTACCGATCGATGCCTTATCAATATTATATTAATGCAATAATTAGGATATAATACATCGATACCTTTGTAGAATATTACATCCTTAACTGAAGTACTGCGGTGTCTACTGTTCACTGCGCAGGCGCAATAAGACGAGCGACGGCCCTGGCGGGAGCGAATATGGTGGTGGTAGGAGATGTCTGCGGAGATGGAACATATATATTCACGAGTCGCGAGTGTTCAGTCGCCTCTGACCGGCTTCGGAGTGAACATCGATTCGTCGCCGATCGTCGGTAGCGCGCGCGCGTGACAGTACAAGAGAAAAGCCACCGGTGCCTAATTGTGTTCCCCTAATCGCGCTGAGAATGAAATTCATCCCTTGCCTGACACAATACGATAGTGGCAAGAGTAGTAGCGGTAGCAACGGTAGTAGTAGTAGTAACAATAGCAGTGGTGTATCATTTCGGCGTGACAGTACCGGGAAAGCGAGCAGGACGTACAACCGGCAAGATCACCGGATATTATAAGATACACACGCTTACCGTGCAAACCCGATTTACACGACTCTTGCGAATTTACGCGCGCGCGCGCGTGCGCGCAGCTTCACCTCCGCATACATTCGTTCGCACGACGAGTAACAAGGAACAGTGAAAAGTTTACGCAAGTGTAAATATAGTGAAAATATAATATATTTATATATAAATATATACGATAGTTGAGATATATATATAATCGAACGTGTCTTGTCTTCAAGAGTGATCGGAGTGAAGTGCAAAGTGTGTTCATACGGATTCGATTGAATCTTTGGTGGATATTGATCGGCTATTAATAATGGATGTAATGCATAGTTGGAGCTACGTCACGCGGGAGATGCGTATGCGTAGGAAAAGATTGTCACCAGATTACCATCTCCAGGCAATATGTGCTTATCAGGCGCAGGTGAAAATCAATGCCCTCATAGAGGAACATTCCACGGAAGACGAGAAGAACGAGTTACGGGAGGACGACCCACGTTGCGATGGTACGTATATGCATGATATCGTGGGAATCTCGTTCGCGGCGCGCCTTACTCTCTCACCCGGCGCGTCTCGACGCGCGTGGGCGGTGACGCTCATGTTAGCGTCGCGACGCTCCCTCGATCCGGAGCGCGCGCGGCGCGGCTATTCTCGGCGGCCGCGGTCGCGGCCGGTCGTCCGCGATCGATGGAATCGCGAACTGTCGGAAGCGGCTTTCCATTCGTGGGGCGAATCTCTTTCCTCCTTATTTATCCTCCGAGTAATATGTACGAGACGATCGTTTCCCTCGGTAAGGGCGGGGCGGCGTTACATTATACATCCGGCTCGGATTTCGTTCGATTATGACATCAATCGCGAGAGGATCGTCCGCGACGTGGGAATCTCCGAGACGGGACTTTCGAGTCTATATTTCTAAGTTTTTATCTTGCCGTTCTTCTATTTAGCTTTCACATTGTCGTCGCGAATCGGAGCTTTTAATCGATAATTGAGATGAAAGAAAGACGCTAAATTCGCAATTAGAAAATATATAATATACACGTAATGTTTTATAATTATTTTTGCGCACGGTTTCGCGAACAGTTCATCGAACTTTTCTACCTGTCTCGTGCTGCTCGACTCGCATTGAGTTTATCGGGAATCGATGGGAATGAGTATGATGTGTGTGCGCGCTCGCTCGAAGGAATCCGATCTGGCGTTCTTTAAAAGCTCTTTACGAAGCGTGACGGAATCGTCGGCAAGACGCTCGCGTTGTTTCGCGAGCGGAAACAAAACGGACGGAGGTAAGCCCGATCCGAGGGCGATAATGCAAGTTTTATTTATACACGCGAAGAAGACTCATGCCGCCTTTTTCAAAGCGAGCGTAAAACGAGACGTGAATTGTCGTTCTCTTGCGACAAATCTCTTTTGCTCGTCCGGTCGATGTCCACGGGGTTTCTTCCTCGTGAATAATATCATCCCCAACGGAACGTCAAAACGCGACCGTGCTAATCCGGGATCTAATTTAGTATGAAAGTAGCCGGGGAATCCTGTCACTCATGTTCTCGGTCTTTGATTTTCAAAGAAGAATGCACGAGAAATATACGGGTCTTTCGTTTTGTCCTTTTATCTATTTGTGTATTCATTTGGGAAAGGTGGAAAGAAGGAAGGATATTGTCGCATTTATTTATTTTTCCATTTGAAAATTTTTGTGCGACCACAATTTTACCATTAAACATAATAAAAAGTAAACAATTATCTTAGTCTTAAACTTGTCTTGAATGCATGTAAGACTTACATTTTCCTTCCTTTGTATGTTTGTTAATTCATTTAATTTCTCCAGAAGAATATCTATGTATTTAAAAACTATTGGCGTACACTTTTTCCCGAATTTTGAAGTCAGAAATAAAATTAGACATCCTCTCTCTTCAATTTTATAATGTGTATAAAATTCATTCGTATCTTCGCGTTTATCCATTCATCTAGCTATCTATGGAGAAAAAAATGTGCATTTATTTCTTTTTTTGAAAATCACGAACGTGCAACTTCTTTAAAAACTACGACTTTGCTGCCAAAAATCTTTTATTTCTGTATTTTTTTTTTTTTTTTTATCTTACTCTCCGAGAATTGCTAATTTGTTTTTGCGAGTGTAACTCTGACCCGATTATTCAGCGACATACCGATGTGACGTGTTGTCGTTTGACACGCGGAGTGATAAAAGTCGATAAAAAATAGTCGTTCACTTGGCGCGTGTTGCGGCTTTCATCGATCAACGATAAAAAATCGCGCGGTCCCGGTCTCTCTAATCGACGAGCAACCGAGCGTGTCAATTTTCTGCCATTTCGGGCGCCAGCTTTTCGTACCCCACTTCATCCTTAATTAACATTCGACGGAAAAGTTGTCGGCTCGTTACACGCTCGAGCGGATAACGTTCGTCGGCGGAAGCCGGTCACACACCTATCTATATCTACCTATCTAAAGTTGGACCGGTCTTTCGTTTCTCGCGACTTGTGTAGGCAGCGAGGAAGACGTTCGATTGGTGATCTCGTGTCGCTCTCGCGCGTTGCGTGTGTGTTGTACATTTTCGAAAGTCCGGACGAGAGGCGGCCCCGCGCTCTCCTTATCAAGATCGTACGAATAATTTCTCTCCGCGTCGACTTGCGCGCGCAAACGCACATGCGGACACACGGTGATTTTGTACCGTCGGTGAAATTGCTTTTCCTAAAGGGGAAAGACCGTGATAGAGCCACGACGTCCAGCTACGTCCTTGGACCCGAAGTGTCATGCGCGCGAATAAACGGGATAAATTTCGCTGGCCGTCGAAACCCAGGAAATTAAATTTGATGTCTAAACGCGCGCGTAGGATATATTAAATGTTATATTTTTCAACTTTATTAATATCAAATAATGTATGTGTACTAACAATAAGTTACGATAAGTAATTTAAATTACAGTTCATTATTCTCAATAATATAAATTCAATTCATAAAATGTTTATTTTTGTTATAAAAATAGCATTTAAAAAAACTGAGTGAATTTTTTTATCGCCATTTTAAAAATCTTGTATCGCTGTGAACGCCGTGACACTGATCTGTCTCTATGACGTCATAGAGTACTAACCTATCTCTACATATACATATATGTGTGTGATGTTACTGACCTGTCATGTATTTACGTGCAAGCCGCAATCAATTAGATTTAATTTATCGCAAACAGCGATCAATCAAATAAGATAATGATTATGTGTAAAAAGTAGCATTTTTTATCATTTTATATAATCTTATACAATTTTTAGTTTAGACTTTTAAACAATTAATTGAAATCAACGCGACAGTCCATGCGAAAGATAGAAAGAATAAAATATTTTCTGCGCGTTAAATAATTTAATTCTATTGTCATCTATCGCGTGAAACTATAAAATCGAAAATGGTGTCAATGGATCAAATGGTAAGAAATCTGAGATTCGATATCGCTCTACAGTAATGTTTAAATCGAATTGGTTCGTAAACTCAATTGATAGCTTGAAGCTGTATTACATAAAAAAATATCTTTATTTCTGTTTTACATATCCTATATTAAAAGTTTTACATTGCAAAATCCGATATTGACGAATTTGACAATTAATCATCATCTGTCATGTATGGCAATAATATAATGTTGGAATGTGCTTGCGCCGTTCACAACGATTTTGACTACTGATTCTGATAGATACGAGTGCCAGTACCCGAGAGATATTCGGGACATCAGAACATTCTGGAATATATTGATAACATTATTCGTGATCCTATTATACAGAATATATTTTGCAACTCGTTAAGTTTCATTATTTCCTACTTTAATTTTTTTAAGTTTTTTTTTATATAGTAAATACATATATGTCAAGCGATGCGATAAAAAGGTTAAATATATATTTAATGAAATCTTTTCTTTTTCATGCAATTTCTTTTCTCATAGATTTTAAATATACCTGTATTAGAGAGAGAGAGAGAGAGAGAGCATATGTGTGTGTCTTTTTTATTTCTGCTTTTATAAGAACTTGAATTTTCATCAATATCTTACGTGAGCGATATAGCCAACAATTACATAGTTTCGTTTCTCATACACGTTTGTTTGGTTGCGCGATCATTTGTTGTTCACGTGATCGGAGCTATGAACGGGAGCAGTTTATCTTTTTTCACCCTGAAGTTGGCGAAATAATCTTTCTTTGGCTCTCAAGGCTGTTCTAAGGTGATCTCCCACATCGGTTACCTTTAAACTTCTTCTTCGCGAAATTGTCAATATTGTCCAAAATATGAAATTAAGGACTATCATAAGATATACATAATTTTCTAGCTGTATTTATTTTTACCAGCTCTACATTTATTACATATTTTTTGTATAAGTAGTTTTTTTATAAGTTTTTTTAATAGAATTATTATGCGACTTTTGATATTAATAAAATATACTAAAGTATAATACGATACGCGATATATAACATTTAATATCTCTCTCTCTCTCTCTCCCCCCTCTCTCTCTCTATTGAATTCTCTTTTCGTCATTTTTCTCTTTATGTTGTCTCATTTTAATTTTTTTCAATTCTACTTTTTTTTCCTTTTTGTTGCTTTTTCTTTTAATTTTTTTCTTGATGATATCTTTATATAGATTATTTTAAATTATATTCGCGTTGTATATCACTTTCATTCCAAAATACATTTCATGTGTTGTTTCTTTTTTTCAAGATTAAATAAATCTATCAATTCTATCCCTTGCTTTCTCTGAGAACTTACATTTTTATCATGTCTTATAGATCATACGCTGTTATGAAATGAATCGATTGCAAAGTATAAATGGATATAGCAATCATCATTATCTTAGCGTACTGAATTTATTTAAAAAAATAATTGAGACAAAATGTAACAAAAGCTATATCCATAAAGAGTATCATCAGAATACAATGTAATTAAAGATTCAATAAAATTGCGTGAATATGAAAAAGGAAAAAGGAAAATATTCTAGAATCAATAAATATTGGTAGACTAATCTTTTTAAATGTGATTCATGCGCGCAAGCCGCCCGCACACACGTCATCCGTTTGTAGTTTTCCGTCTATTTAGATGAAATTGCAATCTCGAAACCCAGCATGTTGAGATACATTACACACGTTGGAAGAAATGAATCATCGTGCAATATAACTGGCTCTTCCGCATATTTTGGATAATCGCATTTTATTTACGAAATTACTTTCGCGCGTATCTTCGTTGCTTAGGTCTCAAATTAAACTTTTGAAAATCTGGTATGGGATTGTTATCGGATTATTATCTATATCTAGTATTATAAAAAGATCAACTATGTTATATAATCATATATTTCTTGTTCTTTATTTGCTTACATATTTTTAATATTAAATAAACATAAAATGTGATACTCGATCGATCGTTCTGATTAATTATTTTTAATTGTTCTAATTAATTACCAAGGAAAACATTGGGTAGATGCATGTACAAATTGTACATGGATACTTATTCGTATGGAGGAGCAAGCTGTATCACGTGTTTCTCGCTTACGAAATGCTATAATAAATCGAATTACATAGATTGAAAAAAGATGTAGGATACTGGCGCTACACGTGCTTGGTTAGAAAGTAACGTTAAGGATTGCATATATCTAATAACGAAATGTACCGCAAAGAAACACTTAACGATTGTACACCGCATCATATATAAGTAAAAGAGAATTTAGAACATTTTTCTTTTAATAAAAAGAAGAAACTATTTTAACATTGTGACGTCATTATAATCATGTATCATTTACTAACAGTCGGGATAATTTGTAGATAATGAATTCGAGTTGTCATTATGTTATTTGCAATAATGAATATTATTAATAATTATGTATTAAAAAAATATTAGATTATATTTATATTTTATTAATTATTATATTGTTTTACGTGTGCGCACATAACGTTTGATTAATTCTAAAAAATTTTGAGGGCGGGAAGAGGAGGGGAAATCGCGATGGAAAGTTGAATGTAACGAAGACTGTTTTTTTATATTATTGTACACGTGATTATCACGATCTCCATTCGTATTTGCAAATTTGTTAAACACATTACTATTTTATTGTTAACACATGCAATAATGTATTGGCATTACGATGCTACAATTCCGCGCGTTACACTATCATGATGAAGCGAAGTATTGCAATCCGCGGTGGCAAGTATTAGGAAATAAATATATATTTTTCGCGATCGTTAAATAGCTGCTATTCAAGAAAAAAAAATCTATTTGTGACATTTACGTGGAATTTCATAGTTTTTGTAAAATAGCGGGTATCAGCATATTTTAATATCAATAATGCTTCTCGAAATAAATATAAATGAGAGATCGATATTTTAGTTTTAAAATTATCTTAAAATTAGTATGTAAAAGATATATAAAATATTTTTTTATCATAACATTTTAATAACATTTATTTTTTATTGTGAAATAATGTTTGCGTGCGCAAAGTTGGAAATTTGATGAATTTAATACAAACATTTAACATATATCGAGAACTTTAATTTCATTAATTTCGTTGATTCATTTTTTTCAGTAATTTAATTTTATTGATATCATTCTTTTATTAATTTAATTTTTACGAAGCAATATAAATGTAATGTTTTTATATTCTTGTGCCATAACAAGATTAATAAATTATTTGTTTGAAAATGATATGAAATAAGGACGAATCTTAACTTTTGAGTACACACACATTAAATATATCATGTAATTTTATTAATTAATATAATGTAAAAAAACTTATAGAAGAAACATCTTTATTTAAAAAATTATAAACATTAATCTTTCTAATTTTCTAGATATTTGGTCTGAGCCGAAAATGACCGAGGAAGAAGTGGAATCATGTAAAAGGGAAAAAGACTGGACGGAAAGGAGAAAGTATGACGAGGTGGATGACAAAATCAGAAAGTTGGAGAATAGGAATTTTTTTCAAAACAAAGACATGTGCAACAGATATGACTCCTTCGTTACCTGCTGGAATGACTGTTCGGCGTTGCGCATTACTGGCAAGGCCTACAAGGATTTAACTGGCCGCGAAACGTGTTGTCCCGAGTATCCTTTGCACAAGATATTCTTGCGAAAAGACTCTCTCAATCGTACGTTGAACTCGCTCAATCCGTTGGTTATGAATACGAATACGCCCGACAATCGCTGCACCAATGAAGACCATATTAGCAGTAAACCGACGTTAGTAAGACAGAACGCACAATGGTGGTCGAGGGGTCAAAGAATAACACCGAGAAGGAGCATTCTGAAAGCACATGCAGCACAAGCCTTAGTCAATACTACGATTCTATCTGCGGCACATTCGTTGGCGAATACGCCGTCGAATAATTCCCGTCAAGATTCTACTCGAATTGTTATCAAGAATCTTGAGAGCGACGGCGACTCACCGAGATCTGCATCGCCCCAGAGTTCCGAAGCAGACGAGGACGAATCGATTTTCCGAAACGGTCAAATCAAGGTACATGAGAAGTTATCCGAGTATATATCGGAGGGGGCGGCATCGGCGAGCAGAGACACGTCGGGGTCGGGGAGCGAGAGCCCCGATCAGCAGGTCAGGCGGCCTTATATCCAGAGGAAGGAGAAGGAAAGTCGAGAGACAGAAAGGAAAGAACGAGAGGTGTCGGTGGAGAGCGACACCATCAAGAACAACACCCTCAACGATCATTGCTACCATCAATCCAGAAGTATGGAGCGATTAAGACGACAGACATTTTCCGAAACCGGTAAGTCGAGACGCCTCTTCTTTTCCTCTTATTCGAATTCAAGTGACTGTTTATACAATATTTAACATCGTTTATAGTAATATGTTCACACTATGTGTGTCGCGATAATTAAATATGAATTTGTAACAAGTTCAAGATTAAAGAAGCACGATATTTTATTCAAAAACAAAAAATGACATTTTAATAATCAAATTCGCTATTTTCTGCATATAGATAAATCGCATATTCTCACTAACAACTTTTATTCCACGGACGGACTTTACACTCTTTTATTTCTCTTATATTTTTCCCTATTTCAATTACACTCGCAATCAAAGTCGTCGCGAATAAAACGTGTGATAAGAAGTAAGAAGTTGTAAAAAAAAATCGAAGTAGAGTAGTACTAGTCAAAATATTCATTCAATACGATATCAAGCATCGGGTGCGCGAAGAACACGCTTAATCGAGAGCAGTTGGCGAAATTCGGGTACCCGCATGAGTGTATACTAATCGCGAAGGACTCGATTATTCGTCATCGTGCAAACACGAACGAGTGCGACGACTGAGAAACTCGTTCCATGCGCTGAGGTCGGCAGACCGATGTCCTCGGGCAGTAATTTATTGCGAGAGAGATCCCGTGAGAATTTCGTGCCGCGCATCGCGGAATTGATTCGTCAGTGCGAGGAAAGGGAAAGAAGTAAAAGAAAAAAGAAAAAGAAGGAAAGCGACGAAAAGGAAACGCGCCGAGTGTTCCGCGTTCGAGCGTCGTCGCGTCCGATAAAGCATATCTTGTCTTCGAAATAACGAGCCGACCGAGATTTCGCGGTATGTTACACGGTAACGCATCGTACACGTTTCTTATTAATGTTGCGGCAACACGTGTATCACCTTCATTGCCCGTGATGCAAATTCATTTTAGCGTCGCCTTCGCGGTCACAATTATTGAAAGACTGGCCATCGCGATCACGTAAATAATGTAATCGTGCAATTTTTTAATTTATCCCTCACACATACCTCGAGTATCATGCAAAGGAAAATATGCATATCAGACATTTTTGAAAATACGCAGGAATCGTTGAATTCACTTTTTTTTACTCGATTTCACTTGCTGAATCTGAAGATCATAGTCAAAATAGCTTCCATAATAGTCTTAGTGTCCGGGAAAAATTTTGGGACATATTTTAAACAGCAATGTTTGATTTTATCACTTTCTCGAGCCATCTCAGCAAATTTCTCCCATTATGTTTTTATTAAAATCGTGGCTTTTATTTGCACTAAAGAATAAATTAGGTTTTTTTCTTTTTTATTTTGGGTAAAGGGCTTGTTTCTTTTATAGTGGCGGAAAAGGAGAGGAATAAATTGCATATATGCATACATCTCATAGGACACAAAGATTTTTTTTTTTTTTAATACTTGATGTGAAAATGATTGTTGCGTCTTTACCATCGTCA